GACTCCTCGTTGTTCATAGCTTATCTTCTTCCTATGCCCTACTCAGTACTGCCTGTAAATTCTGCTCCTCATGATACTGCAACCACAAACAAATACAACACGATGAATTGGTTGTCAAAGATCAATTTTTAATAGCTCCAAACAATGACCCCTACTGAATTATTTGAACCAATCTCAAACAATATCCAAAATTACATGGCTCGAACAAAAAATGACCCAACTTTGAGCTAAAAGTTAGTAAGTATATCATTGATAAACAATCATAAGAATCTACTTAGAAAAACGAATATGACCTGGGCCAAAATTAAACAAGGTGAGTAAATCACCAAAATTTACTTGCTTAATGAAATGAAAACCCCTTGTATGGCATGGAAATTGAGCTAAATGCACAGAAAATTTCAGTCTAAGTGCATAAATAAACAATACTCGTACTATTTAATGGTTTTAACATTTTTAGTAATCGTAGTCCATCGTGACATCGTCCCTCGCCTCACAATGAAATGGAAACCCCTTGAATGGAAATTAAGCTGAATTCACATTAAATATTAAATGCATCGGTCTAAGTGCATATATTAACAATACCCAAATCCCAAAATGCAAAGTCACCAAAATAAATACCAAAAAAAAACAAGATTAATGGACTAAACATAAATAAACAAAGTAAGATACCTCTCAAAGTATTCAAGGATACCGAAAACTGAAGGCCTGAAGAACAAGAAACTCGCCTAATGCTGCTCTTTCTCTGGCTGTTAGCCTTTTCATTTCAGCTCTGAACCTTTTCACCTCAGTTTCCATTTACTTCCCATCTTCCCTGGTTATTCTTTTCACAAACAAAGCAAAAATCATCTGAAAAAAACAATCATAATTGGATTTTTACATGAAAATAAATCCCGCTCAAAATAAGTGACCTTTGTATAATCAAATACTCCCTCCATCCCCAAATGATAGTCTCTTATGGGCAAAAATCACGGGAATTAAGAAACTTAAATAAAAGTAGTAAAATTACATTGAAAAGATAAATATAGTATGTAAAATAGTAGAGAGAGAAAGTAATAAAAGTATATTGAAAAACAAAATTTACATGGGAAAGTTAAATTTGCACAAATATTGTTTAATTGGAGGGAATTTTCATAAAAAAATGATATTAATGGTACTTGAAAAAAGCAAATGGGACTATCTTGATTTCCTGCACAAACATATTATTATTAACCCAACTTGTTATGATAATCTTATATCTCTATTATTTCAGCTAAAAAAAAGGTAATTCAATAATTAAGCAGGAACAGTCAAAAGGATAAAGGATGTCATCAAATCATCATGAGATTTAAAACTCATCAGGTTCCTGCTTCTATAAGAAGTGCAGACAGTTCAAAACACACAAACAATATAAGTATTTGACATCAAAGGTGAGAATATAATCCTAAAACTTAAGTCTTTCTCTACTTGTTTAGTTTTCCCTTCTTCTTGCAGCTTCCTATATCTTTCATGAGCCCTCTCTATTTTTCCAACTCCTCCCTAAAAATTGAATACATATGATAGTAATAATATGAATAGTGTCTCCATCTTCTCTCAAACTAACTCAAAATCATGCATTAGATATAACCAACTAATAACATCATTTTAAGTTAAGAAGATTTTCTTTCCAACCGATAAATCTAGACTGGTTGCTGCAAAGTGTTACAAACATGTCAAGCTTCATACACAAGGTGGTAGTTTATATAACCACACAACATTCTCATGAAACTTAGTCCCAATCTTGTATATGAGATGCCTACTTCAATCCAATTTTGATCGGACAATGTCATTCAAAGGATAAGGTGATAAGCACATGAATATTAAAAAATATATATGACTTGATTATACGGACCACCATAGGACATACCTGCAAGGCTGCAAATGCCTGTCAACCAATTTAATGGCTTTTGATAGCCTAACTTTAAGATCAATGGAATCCAACATACGTAGCCGCTCCTCGAAGCTTATTTCAAAACTTTGCAACAAATATATCTGCCAGTTTGTGTTCAGTGACAGATTCTTGAAGAACTTTTTGTCTTCCCACCAGTCTTTTGTTTCTGAAGACATGAAAGCATAAGTTTAGCACCTAACTGCATACTTTTTGAACAAAAAGAAAAATTTAAAAGGGAAAAAAAAACAGATTCTATCTCCATAATAGATTTTTACTGACTTATTAACCATGATTTTACATAACACATGTGTATGTATGATTCTAATTTAATATTATATGTCGAGGTATAGTTTTCGTATCTTGTCTATGATGGATGTTGAATTATACGGTTTCAATGTGGTTCAGAAATGGACAAAGTAGAGCAGGACCCTGATTTCGTCTCATTAGCTCACCAGTTCAAAGCGACTACCATAGGTGAAGTATATGGTTAATTAGTTATGATATATTTTGGTTTGTGCAAACTTAGAATATAGAGAAAAGGACAGAGAGAAAGTGAGAAAGGGAGAAAGAGAGATATGGAGAGGAAGGAAGACGGGAAGAGAATACGAACCAGGGTCAATGGGGGCAACTGTTGTCACTGAAATCGTACGAGTATTAAAAAATCAGCAAATTTTGCCCATATCTAGGAGCTATAGACCAAACCTAATCAATCCCAAACTGCTAGAGCTATAAACCAAACCCAAAAACATAAGACCAAACCTTAGGAGTAAAAAAAAGAGGGAGTTAATAGATAAATATGATAATGTAAAGCTAAAAGCATCTAATAATCACTAAGAGTAGTAAATTTAAATCTAATAATTGCCGCAAAATTCCAGACCAATGGGTGCTTTAAATTTGAAGAAAGAACAGTAATATTAACAGAAAGTTGAAGAGCAAGGGATTCTACCATTATAATTTCCACCAGTTAACCTGCACAATTATCAGAACATTAATAGGTTAATGCTTGGCTACATATACCAACTTTGCTACTACAACATCCAAAGACAAGTGTGAATGATTTCACTTAGATTTCACAAAAAGAACAATTAAAGGAGGAGAACCCCTTCATATCATTGTGACAACATCATTACTTGATGACTCACACACTCACACTACTAATTTCTTTTTTGAGGGGGTGTATGGTGGGGATGAAGGGGTCAGCAATGGAATAAAAAGTCCAACTAAACAAAAGGATGCCAAAATAATTGTATGCATAAACTAAATCTCGGTCAAGGTCAAATCCCAAAAACAAAAATGTACAAGCAAAATCAATTAAAGCAACCAGAATTCTTCTTGATTTGGATAAGAGCATGTAAGCCAAAAAGATAAAATCGAACCTTCAAGACACCCATCTCAAGCCCTTCTAAGTGCCTGAATCCAAGTATTCTTACTCAGACATCAATCCCTTCTCTATAAGACTACTCAAGCTTATGGACGTCTTTATCAGCCACGTCAGAAATCTGTAGAAATGAATCACCCTTGGCATCCAATGTATACATAGATAGCTTTTAGAAATATAAGAAAAAAGAAATACATACCGTCACATATGGAGGTGTAGGAGCCGGAGACGATGGGATTTCAAGCAAAAGGCCCCAATCTTTATCTACTCTGATTACTTTCAAGTGTTCATAAATCTCTCGTGTCCTGACATGCTGCATACCAGATACAAAATTCAATAAACAAACTCATATAAGAAATGTTTATGAACATCATAACAAATCCTACACTTGTACAATCCAAAAAGGATTCAAGTCTATAAAATCTTGGCAAAGAAGATGCTATAAATAATATTACTACTCTTGAGATATGTAAAAACTTCTGAAAACAATCACTTTAAATTAACCAAATAGCAAAACTAAATAATCTTTTTCGTACCAAACCTAGTACATTGGTGCACAATGTTGAAAGCAGCAGCAAAAAGAAGCAAGTCAGAAATGAATTTTTCCCAAAAACAAAATAAACCTAAAATGTGAAATTCATATTCAGTGATTAAAAAGAACTGATAATTAGACCAAAAAGCTAGTTATTACCTCAAAACTACCCTTCGATGGAGGAGAAGCTAGAATTTAATGGAGAGCTCAAACACCAAGTAAATTGGCGATGAGCCCTAGATTTATATCATCAATCACCTGCAATTCATAATAAAGGGTCATAAGAAAACACTAAAACCCCTAGATTAAATGAGAAAATACCCACAATCTATGTCCATTTAAGCAATTCATCGAACACTTTAAGATCGCATATTTACATGACAAAAGCAAATAATATAACATTTAAATTAGATTCGAATGAACTCACCTTGGCACATACATTGACAACTCAATCAAGAATATCTTCTTTAATTCAATCTTGAACATATGGGTTTCCTACAAAATCCCCCCCAAAAATAAAATCAGAAATGATCAAGCTTAGAAGAACACTAAATTGACAATAAAATTAATGATGAACCCTAAAATAGGTATTTGAAAAAGAAAAATCTTACCTCAGAAGCTGCTGTATTCTTTTCCGATCAAGTTCATGGGCTAAGGGCAAGGGCGTCAAATATAATCCTAAAATAGGTATTTAAATACTAAGTACGCAACTACACCACCATCAGCTCCTCGAAATCGCGCAACTACACCACCACCAGCTCCTTGAAATTGCGCCATCGACACAGCCGCTGCAACACCCATACACAATAAAAAAACAACAATTAATCTACTAAGAAAGAAAAAGGGAAAAACGAAAAGGAAATACTTTAGCTATATAAAAACAAAGGAAAGGAAAGAAGACATAGCTAATCAGAAAAGAAAGCAAGAAAGAAAGAAAGAGAGTAAGTTGCAGAACACCGACAAAGAAAGAGAAATAGCCACGCGTCAGCCCGCTGAGAGCACATGCAATGTAAAAGCAAAAAGACCGAAATAGCCCAGTCGACTTGGTCAACCAGAGAAGGGTGCTAAGGGGCAGGGAGGGCAAAACCGTCAATTTTCTGTTCATAAGGAACAGTAAAATTGCTACAGTCTTGGGGCTTGGGGCTTTTAGAAGGGTTATAAATTAACCAATGCTTCAATAAAATTTACAACTACTACAAGAGTTCAAGACTAGTGGATTTTTCCGAAATTTCCACCCAACATATAAGAGGAATGATCTTCCAAAATTCCCACAATTTTCAAGTTACAAAAGTCCCGCCTTCAGTCTCGAGAGAGAACTTCCGACACTGAAGCTGCCCATCTGTAATCATGGCTACCGGCGTCGTCCTCCTTCTCTTCATCGCAATTACTTCATCTTCCTTTGTCTCCGCCGACGAACTTGCTTTAGGTACTTTCTCTCTTTTTATTCACCCCTCAATTTTTTTTCACCAAATTCTAGGGTTTTCTTCTCATTTAATCATTTCTTCTTCTTTTTGTATAATTTTCTACTTTTCGTGGTGGATTTTTCGTCGTAGAAAACCCTAATTCCTTATTTATGTAATTCGGGGTTCTTATATCGATGAGTTTTTTTTTTTTTTTTTGAAATTAAGATAATTTTGGGGGAAATTGGGCGGTTAATTATATTAAGGGTTTACTTTATCATGCGAATTGAAGTGGGAAGAAGTTAGATACATTGAATTGAGATGAGGGTGAAGGGGCTTATGAATCTAAGATATCCTCCCTAATATCTAGGTCTTGTGCAATTTTAAAGCTTCACCTGTCATTATAATTGAACCTTTGCTCGTTCTAGGTGGGTCTGGACAGGTCGGGGCAGCTTTATGCAGGTTGCTACAGAGGCGGGTCAATAGAGGGCTAGATGGGTCAATAGAGGCTATTCAAAATTGTTAGTGGGTTAAGATAGGGTCAGGATCATGCTGATCAGGGCCGGATCAGGGCTTATGTCAGTCGAATAAGGGTCGGTAGTGGGTCAGAGCAATTTAAATAAAAGTATTGTTTAGTAACTTTTAATTGCTTTAGGTTTCGTTTTACTAGAACCAAAAGGAAGATGAAGAGAGGAGCAGTGAGAAACCAAAGGTTGACTAAGCAAAGGAGCTGCTGGCAAAATATTGGGGAGCTTAACTAGTAATTAGGTCATATAATAATCAAATTAAAAGATGGGAAACCAATATTATATACTCCGTATCTTTTAAATGCATGGCCTAAGGTAATTAGAGTACAACGGAGAGAGAGAAATTGCTACCATACAAGAGAAAGAGAAGAGAGGAAAGAGGGGGAAGAGAGAGAGAGAGAGGGGTAAAGGGTGTCCTGAAACTTCCAAGTTTCTGTCATTGGGCTATTTACCACAAAAAAAGCAATATCAATTGGTTGTCATTAAAAACCCTATAGTGACCATTATTACTTGACCCTATAATGCCCCTGTCTAATAAAGAATTAAAGGGTAAAACCCCTTAATATGTGGCCTAATTCTTATGTCACTGATGGCCTGGTCCAATTACCACTTTAGTTAATTATATATCCACTACTTCCTCTCTTTTTTTAGATGCATCACTCTCTATATTTGAAAGTTTCAATTTAGATGCTTTACTTTCCTTTTTAGTTAATACATTCTCTTCATCTCTCTCATATCACATGAGTCCACTTTTTTTCTCTTTCATTTCTAAAAATTGCCTAGGAGTCCGTGACATTAAAAGTAATACATCTAAAAAAAACGGAGGTAGTAATAAATTTCTGTTATACACGTCTCAACTATGTATAACATGCTTATATTCTTCAATTTTTTGGACCGACAACTGTGGAGCATGTTCATGAAATTAATTGCCCCAGTTGCATAGTTGCTTTTTTATATGTATTTGAATTTGGGAAGTAATCTCATGACCATGGAAATGTATTCAACTCATGTATTGACTGTTTAGTCTACCTTTAAATATGCAGTTGTTGGTCAATCTACTGCATTGCAGATAATCCCAAGTTTGCTTGTGAAAAATTCACCTGGCTCTAAACTCCATGTCAACGTTGCTGAAAGGGTGCATGTATATGGCTTGTCAAGGATGAAGAATCTCAAACAATTTTCCCATTCTGTGACAGTGAAAGTTTTGCACCTAAATTTTAGTCTTCGCCGACCAAATTTTGAGATCTGTTTCCACAGGTAAGCAATCATGTGGTCTCTGTCTCTGAATATGGTTATGGCAACTTCCTGACTCCTGAGTTGGTACTGCCAATAACTGAATAAAAGAGCTTCCACTTATGAAGTTATGAATATTTTTTTCTTAGCTGAAATTGCATCCCTGTTGCATGTGATAGGACATTTAAATTGATTGGGATAAAGAAGTTGCAAACTGTTTACATTTAAGTTGTGTGGAATCTTCCTCTTGATCCTTGAGAAGTATGAGCCATTTGACTTTAGGTTTTGAGTTAAAATTTTCAAGAAAAATGTGGCTTTAGTTATTGTATGGAGACAAAATTCAAAGAAATTTTTGGTTGAAGGGGATAAGCTATAGGTGCAAAAAAGTTGAATAGATTAACTACTCAGACATATACATTGTATAGCCTTCGGCAGAAGTAAAGGTATTCATCCAGGATGGTTTATTTCAGTTAAGCCAAAGAATTTGAGCAAAGTAAACTAGCAACACTGTCTTGCCAAATTGACCATTATATGTTTGCAGGGACAAATCTTAAGATAGACGGTTTCTCTGCACCAATCTTCTTATTTGGAAAAACCAGCTTTATAAGAGACGCATTTGTCATATGTGTAAGAACATTGTATTCTACACTAATGACTAACCCCACATATTAGTTTATAATAGTAATATAAGTAACCTTTTAAATTATGTGAAAATTGCATCAGACATTTTGATAGGACAATCTTTTTGCCTGATTTGAATTAAAATTTGATAGTAGTCATACTTAAGCAAATAACCTGTATGGAATCGATGAATTTGTGGCTCTTACAACTAAAGTAAAAATTATATTTCTTTTGCAGAAATTTGTCTCTTGGGGTAGGAATGTGTTCCCCGAGTCAGTGGCAAAAGGTTTCAAAGGGTTCATGGGCTCAACGGATGTCACCCTTTGACAACAAACTCATAGATATAAGGATGGCTAATTCATCTTTGGGAACATTGGAGTTGACCCTACAAGAAGGTAAACTGTGTTGTTGATCCTTGCATAGCAGGTCATTCTTGCTAATTTATTGATACCAATCGCGGATGGCTTATATTATCATAATTGGTTTTGGTGGTGGTTGGGGGGGGGGGGGGGGAGGGAGGGGCTTTGGGGCATGCTATGTTGTATGTTACCTTTCGGGTTTGAAAGTTTGCCTTTTGCTACCTTTAGTTAGTTTCAGTTACAATTCCTGACTTTGATTTCGCCCATGTCAGATTACTCGACATGTTGTCTTCCTTATGCTCTTTCCTTAGTAGGTGACAATATATGGATACGAAAATCTAACCTTCAGATGTTTTGTGGGTAGTATGAAAACTTTTCTTTTAACCTCCAATATCTCCTAGCACAGAGCTGCATTTACTGGAGCCTGGATGGTGGTATTTCACTATATCTTTGTTTATCCTACTCTTTTTTGATGATTTATTATTATTATTTGAACATCCTGTTAATAAGCCACCCACGGCTACACAAGAAATACCGACTTTATCCCAATTTAATACTCCCATGTTGTCGCCGGCCTGTCACCCCCTACCCCCTCCCCCCCAAGAAAAATAAAAAAATCGACGCTTGGGTCCATTTATTGACAGATTTTCAACTTTTCATCCATTTACTGGCACTCATTTATGTGTCAATACTGATAATATTAATAATCAATTAATGATGGTTTCGTAAGTGAATTGTTCAATAACGATGAAGCTGGGTCATTTTCAGAAGTTTTTGTGTACTAGGGTAAAATGCACTTTTGTTTGAGAATATCCAACTTTGTCAAATATTTTTGAAGATTTACTATGTTAGAGTTAGACAATAGTTAATCTTGTTTTATATCTGTTTTTCAGATTTCTCTGCATATCGCGTTGTGTTTCTAGTCCTGGGTACGTTATTGCTTACACTGGCTCCCACATTCAGTGACTCTTTGATATTTTACTATAGCAGTGCTATGGCTGTTGGGATCATCCTTGTGGTACTACTTGTTCTTTTCCAGGTAATTATTGATTTTCTTGCATGTAACCTGTAGTTTGTAAAATTTCTTGCTGATTTCCAGTGTCTGTTTTACTGAAAGTTCTTGTGGCATATATTTAGTTCAATTCCTTATATTGCGCAAACCCCTTTGTGGTTTCCTTAAGAAGCCTTATTACCATAATTATTTTGTAAGGTCCTTTATTAGCTACTGATTCTTTGTGTGTTTATTGTTATGAATTTTGGCAGGGAATGAAGCTTCTTCCTACTGGTTGTGGAAATTCTATTGCTATTTTTATATACTCGTCTTTCGTGAGTATCATACTTATTGTTTGCTGTGATAATTGTCTCATAGTAATCCTCTCTCAGATTGTATATACTTTTTTATATCTAGATTGGCGTTGGATCTTTTCTCCTAAGCTATGTGCCACGTTTGCTGCGTTCAATGCTTGTGGAGATGGGTATCAGCGAGGACATGTACAATCCTGTATGTAAGTCCTATGTAATTTATTTTGAAGAGTACAGCTTGTAAGAAATTTGGATTTGCATCATATCTTTGTGGTTGTTTTTATTTGTTTCACACTAGTATCATCATGGTAATATTTTCTCTATCTTACAGTCTTAGACTGAATATGACATTATGTGATTTATGTCTGCCTTTTAAGCTGGCTATGGTGTTCTAGTTCCTTAAAATCACATTTTATGTCTTTTAAACTAAAATTACTCTTATTATAGTCGTGTATTGAATTTATTAAAACTAATTTGAGTAATTTCTGTTGCAACAACCTACTAGATTTAATCGGCTTTAAAAAAAAAAAGCTTTCAACATCGCCTGATTGCTCGGGAAATTTGCTTTCTTTTCTCTGATTCTTGAAGAATGAAATATGACTAGAGCTGTCAATTCGGGTAAACAAGTTGGGTTTGGGTCGAGTAAGAGTGGGTCGGGTCAACTCGGGTTGGGTCAATTCGGATTAATTCCATAACCTATGCGGGTCGGGTTTGGGTTGAGTCATGCTTGAGTCGGGTCACGTCGGTTCATACTTCTTATCGGGTTTGGGTCGGGTTTAGGTCGGGTTAATAACATGTCGGGTGAACAATAAGTCGGGTTTAATTCGGGTTTTCACGGGTTAGGGTAATTCTTGGGTTCGAGTTGGGTTCGGTTCAAGTCAATAATTTGCGGGTTAGAATCAGGTCATTCTCGGGTTTGAGTCGGATTCGATTCAAGTCAATATTTTGCGGATTATAATAAGGTCGGGTCATTTTCAAGTCGGGTCATTCTCAGGTTCAAGTCGGGTTCGGTTCAAGTCAATAATTTGCGGGTTATAATCAGGATGGGTCATTTCAAAGTCAGGTCATTCTCGAACTCAAGTCGGGTTATGTTCAAGTCAATAATTTGCAGGTTACAATTAGGTCGGGTCATTTCCAAGTTAGGTCATATTCGGGTTCAACTAACTATAAATAGATAATTATCATTTTTATCAAGTTAATTATTTTTTTTTAGACTATAATATATATGACAATATACTAGGGAACTATAGTGTATAATTTAGGAAGATAATTATCTCCTTTGACCATACAACAAATGTATACTATATTTAACTCTTAAATTTGAGGATGATGCTCCCTAGACAAAATGCTTTGATCAACAATAATAAGGTGGTCTAAATTGCATTGAAGGTGATTTGAAATCGGGTAAGGAATAATTTGGGTAAGGAATAAGTCGGGTCAATAACAAGTAGTATTAATTTCGAGTCGAGTTAGTAATAGATCGGATTGAATTTTTGGGTCGTGTAATTAATAGGTCCGGTAAAATACGGGTCGGGTCAATCACAAGTCGGGTTTAATTTGGGTCAAGTCAATAACAAGTTGGGTTGATTTCGGGTCGGGTTTGTTACAGGTTGGGAACGGGTCGGGTTGAATTTAGGTCAGGTTAGGAACGGGTCGGGTTGAATTCAGGTCAGGTTAGTAACAGGTCGGGTTATATTCGGGTTTTGACGGGTTAAAACGGGTTTGGGTCAATTTCAGTTCAAGTCGGGTTCAGTGCAAGTTAATATTATTGACCATTATAAACCGGTAAATCGGTGCAAGTTGTAAACCGGGTTATAGGCCGTTTAAAGGCTAATAGGATGGTTCCACCCACCTTATTGGACTCCCGAAGGATATTAGGGACCATGATAAACATTTCGCCAATTTTTATCCCGGGCGATAAAAAAAGTCAAAAATTTCCAAAATTGAAGGCTTTAGTCCACGCTTTTTGAGAAATTTTGGAAGTTTCGGAGCCCGGTGTCACAAAGTCTTGAGATTTTAGGGAATACATCTTGGTGGTCATATAATACCGTTTGGAACCATATATGATCATTATATGTTGTCATAAATGTTCGTGGTAGGTTTCAATTAATGAAATTGGTGTAAGTTGTAAACCGGTAAATTGGCCGTTTAAAGGCAAATTGGAGGTTCCACCCAGACAATTGAACTCCCGGAAGATATTAGGGACCACGGTAAACATTTCGGCAATTTATAATTAAGGGCGAAAAAAAGTCAAAATATTCCAAAATTGAAGGCTAAGGTCCATGCTTTTTGAGAAATTATGGAGATTTCGAGGCCCGGTGTCGAAAAGTCTTGACAATTTAAGAGATTTATCTCGGGTGCATATAATGCCATTTGGAATCATATATAATCATTATATGTTGCCATAAATGTTCGTGGTAGGATTAAGTTATTGAAATCGGTGCAAGTTGTAAACTAATAAATTGGCCGTTTAAAGGCAAATTGGATGGTTTCACCCACCCCAATTAGACTCCCGGAGGATATTAGGGACCATGTTAAACATTTTGAAAATTTTTATATCCACACTTAAAAGCTATATCCACGCTTTTTTGAAAATTTTTGGAGGTTTCGAATCCCGGTGTCGAAAATCCTTTAGATTTTGGGGGATACATCTCGGATTCATATAATGCCGTTTGGAAACATATATGTTCATTATAAGTTGTTATAAATCTTCGTGATAGGCTTGAGTTGAAGAAATCGGTGCAAGTTGTAAATCGGAAAATTGGCCGTTAATAGATGAATTGGATGGTTCCATTAACCAAATTAGACACCTAGAGGGTATTAGGGACCATGGTAAACATTTCAGCAAATTTTATTTTCTGGCGAAAAAAAGTTAAAAATTTCCAAAAATTGAAGGCTAATATCCACGTTTTTTTTAGACATTTCATAGGTTTCGAGGTCTGCTGTAAAAAAGAAATGAGACTTTAGAGAATACATCTCGGGGCCATATAATGCCGTTTAGATACATATATGATCATTATATGTTAAATCTTCGTGGTAGGCTTGAGTGATTGAAATCGGTGCAAATTGTAAATCGGTAAATTGGCCATTTAAAGACTAATTGGATGGTTCCACCTAACCAATTGGACTCCTGGAGGGTATTAGGGACCATGGTAAACATTTCGACAATTTTTATTCAACTGTCGCGCTCCGGGAGTTTGGACCCCGAACGTGCGGCGCGCTCTAGCCTTCTGGCGGCAAGAACGCTAGCCTTGAGCGGAAGAGGGGCTTGTGAGCACGAAGCAACACAAGCGGGCAATTAAATCAAAGGAGCACTCGCGTCAATTTGGGTGACGGAGTGCGGGTGGTCGGGACTTGTGACGGCCGATAATTGAAGGCGGGCACAAGCAGGTCCGAACCATGAGTTCTTAGTGCATCAAGTTGGTTTTGAGGAAGCTATTATGCAAGTAAGACACAATATCTATAGAGGTCTAACAACAAACAAGCATAAGAGCAAAGCAACACTTGGTAGAAGGCTTAAGATTTCATTAATCATTCACCCTCTTAAGTCTACTGAATCTTCAATACCTTCTTCACAGCAGTTCTTGGAAGCCTTTTCTTTAGTCTACTGAATCTTCAATACCTTCTTCACGATCTTCTTCTCTTCGGATGATTCTTTCACGCATGATAGAACACCTCCATATGGACGGTTGACAGTACGCCTGTTTTGGGCAATCGGCTTCTCTTATACTCAGTAGGCCTCAAATGAGGAATTCCTTGAATTCTCTTTCCAGTAATAGGGCACTTTGGACCACTAGCTCTCTTCTTTGTAGTCCGGTAAACAAGGGTTTTGACGATGTGATGTTGGTTGGATTTGGTGGCATAGCTATGGCGTTTACGGTAAGTGAGACGCTTCGCCATTGATGAGTTGTTTAGTTTCTCTCTCCTCCTCTTCTGCGTCTCACTCTCTTTCTCTCTTTTACTCCAACGGCAGTAGAGGTTATTGCTGTAAAACTTGAGAGGTTATTGCTTTAAGACTTGTGACGGCTAATACTTCGAAGCAGGCACAAGCGGAAGCGGAACCGACTAGATGAAGGCGTCTTTTGAGGGTCTCTTGGTTTGGTGGGGATGCTTTAAAACAAGGTAAACACAATATCTATAATGGCTTAAACAACACACAAGTCTTAAAGCAATAACAACGGGGTAGGGAGCTTATCCGGGAGAAAAAAAAGTCAAAATTTTTTAAAATTGAAGGCTAATATCCATGTTTTTGTTAGACATTCCGAAGGTTTCGGGGCTTGGTATCGAAAAGCAATGAGATTTTCGGGAATACATCTCGGGGTCATGTAATGACGTTTAGAACCATTTATGATCATTATATGTTGTCATAAATGTTCGTGGTTGGCTTCGATTAATGAAATCAGTGTAAGTTGTAAACCGTTAACTGGCCGTTTAAAGGCAAATTTGATGGTTCCACCCACCCAATTGGACTCCTAGAGGATAATAGGGTTCATGGTAAACATTTCGGAAATTTTTATTTTCAGGCAAAAAAAAAGTAAAAAAAAAATCCAACAATAAAAGGCTATTATCTACACTTTTTGAAATTTTTTGGAGGTTTCGGATCCCAGTGTCGAAAAGCCTTTAGATTTTAGGGGATACATCATGGGTTCATATAATGCAGTTTGGAACTATATATGTTCAATATATGTTGTCATAAATCTTCGTGGTAGGCTTAAGTTAATGAAATCGGTGCAAGTTATAAATCGGTAAATTGGTCGTTTAAAGACGAATTTGATGGTTCCACACACCCAATTGAACTTCCGGAGGGTATTAGGGACCTTGGTAAACATTTCGGCAATTTTTATATCCGGGCGAAAAAGTCAAAATTTTTCAAAATTGAAGGCTAATATCCACATTTTTTTAGACATTTTGAAGGTTTCAGGGCCTTGTGTCGAAAATCAATGAGATTTTAGGGAATACTTCTCGGGGTCATATAATGCCGTTTAGAACTAGGGGTGTCAAACAAATCAGGTCGGGTCGGGTTCGTGTTCGGGTCAGCTACTTTCGGGGCAGCTGACCCCCAACCCGAACCTGATCCATTTAAGTTTTCGGGTTGAAAAACACAACCTGAACCTGATATTTTCGGGTTCGGGTCAACCTGAAAATGACCTGATTTGACCCAAAAGTTTTTTTTAGGTTTAAATCAATTTAATTTATTCG